TGGCATTGTAAAAATAAATATAAAATAAACATTTTAAAGAAAATAAATAAACAAGAAAGTACAAATGTTGCATTTAAAAAAATAACTAGATAAAACATATATAATATGTACAATAACTATTAAGTACAGTATACAGTACTATACAGAGATGATGTATGAGAAACCAATGTGAGTTTGGAAAATGGAACAATATAAATCTATTCTAGTAGACCTCAACAATGGAATTATGATCAATAGAAATGGCCATGACATGGGACCTTCAATAAGAAACACAAGATGTTTTGAAAGAGACATTGCCAAATTATTATTAATCATTTCATTTCAAACCTTTATTTATCCAGATTGTCCCTTGAGATCATAGATCTCTTTTTTCAAGAATTAGTCATTAGATTCTGATCATTTTATCTTATTTTGTGGATGATGTTCCCCCAGTACCCCTCAGTCAGGACTTGGTTTTACTGTGAGACAGACATGATGTGTGTGTGTCCTCACTGTGAGCGGCTCCTCAGCAGGAGCCTGCCTAGAGTTTCTGTTTGGACTCTGGGAGCCCCGCTCCATCATCTGAGCTCTGGTGTTTGTGTTTTATCTGTGACCTGGAGGATATGATTTACAGATTCACACAGAGAGGGTCATGTGAACTCACAGACTGCAGAGCATCGTTTAACAACTGGCCTGCTGACGCCCTCTGGCTTTATACAGCCTAGGTTTAGAGGTTGTACGAATGTAATGAAAGTAGTCACTGGTCTGATGTGAAAGAAGTATATCTCTTCTCATTTTATACACAGTGAAGAGAAGAAATAAATCAGGCATTTACATTGTTATGGTCGGTCTTTAAACCCACTTAAAGGTCCCATGTCATGCTTTTCCAGTTATTACCCGTCCCCTTGTGTTATGAAGCTTTTTCTGCATGTAAACGGTCTGCAGAGTCAGAAACCCTCAAAGTACACCCTGTCGCGAGTAAAACTCTAACACAGAAAATACCTGTCTATGCTGCCCCAGAACGCCTCGTTGGACATTTCTCTTTTTTCATTTTTTTCTTCAAATTCCAAATTAACCAATCCGTGGAGCTCGTCACAGACACACACTCACTCAGCCTTATATTTTCTCAGCCGCGGAGTTTCGCCAGCACACACACGCCAGCGCACACACACTCAATCAGCCTTATTTTTCTCAGTCGCTGCTCCGTGGATCTCCACTCACAGTTCACCACACACTCACGTGTGTGTGCTCAGGCTGAGTTCTATGAGAGGCCGTCTAGCTCACAACTGATACTTGGTCTTACAAACAATATCAGAATCTCACACATACACCATTAAACTCTTTTATAGCTAAACACTTTTACACGCACAATCATACTCTCTTTCACACACTTTTGTCTGGGCCATAAATCAATCTTACTTACATACCAAACTGTACTTTCTTAGAAACACTATTATTCCCACTTACAGACAACATCATACTACAATATATAATCTAGTAGTGTATGCAAGATAGAAAACTTTGTGTGTGAGAAAGAATGCTGGTGTATGTGAGAGAGGAATTGTAGTATGTATGAGGGTATAGAAGTGTGTGTGAGAGAGAATGATAGTGTGTGTGAAAGACAATGCAGGGTTGCGATCGAATAGTCCATTTAGCTTAGGAACCTTCCTAATGGAGTGAAATGACCTGGAAGTCCCTCAGTGGCAGCCATGATAAGTGCCGGTCCAATTCTCTAGAACAGCGGTTCTCAAACTTTTTTAAATAATGTACCCCCTTTGAAAAAGAAATTCAGCCAAGTACCCCCTGATCAGCACAAAAACGATTTGTTAGGGGAAAAATGCCTATATAAAGAGGTACAGTACAGCGCTGCACCATCAGTGTCTGATTTATTAAAACAACAACATTGTAACTGAGAAACACTTAAATGCTACATTTCAAATGTTTACAATCCATCACTAAATTCATGGCAAACCAATTTTAACATCATGCAATAACACTAAGACGACATTAGTTGCATTGAACTGATCTTTTTAATAAGTTGTACTTACAATGTAGTGAAACATGGGCTTGAGCTTCACTGAGGATCTTTGTCATTCTGACAGGAAGGCCACTGCAGTTATTACACTTCACGTTTTGAAATATGTGTAACTCTGTTCATATAAAACCCACACTGCTCAAACTTCGTTACTTTTCCTAGAATTGGTATATTTATTTATTAATTTATTTTCGGGCGTGGGGAATGAAGAGAAAAAATATGAGCATTTTATGAGCATGGGATTTTGACCCCTCATATGAACATATGCATAATGCTGCGCTATACTTTGCGGCCACATGCTGTTGCCAAGCAACGCTTATTGTTTAGGTCCTTTGATAAGCAGGCAGTCATATCATTAACTAGAACTAGCTAGATTTGATAGATTTGGATATAAACGCGAGTGAAGTCTAACCGGACGAGAGAGAGAGAGATCAGATCAGCTGCTGCTGACGGAGAACACACAGCTCCGCATGATCACAGCTCCGCCGCTGTGACGGACCGTTGAGTGGAGCAAAATTAAATACACTAAGAGTTAGACCTAATTGCCTTAACATGGAAAAAGTTGGGCAAACCTAGTATTGCACAGTGGTTTAGCGAACATGTCTGCCTTTAGAAAAAATCACTTACATTCTCAAAGACAAACAAGAACTGTTCCAGAAGGTCTGGGGACGTTTTATAGAGTATACCAAGAACAATGACCTATCTCAATTTCTGAACGAACCTGGGGCAGGATAATGCGATAATGCTATAATATGCTACAATATGTTAAAATGTAAATGACTGTGATATCCTCTGTAGAAATACGGTCCTATTGCTGGAAAACTGGATGGTTGCCGATGTATTATAGTGCCCTTGTGGTATGTACCAATTTAATTTAGTGTTGTTATTTTTCTTTAATATAAATTAAAGTAGTTGTCCTGTGTATATATGTATTGCTTTTGGCTCTATGTCTTCGTCCTATGTATGTGATTTTTTGTAAGCTGAAAATCAATAAACATATTGATAAAAAAAAGAGTTAGACCTAACACACTTAGATAGTTTATCTACTCTGGAACTAGCTAAACTAGTTATAAATATGTGTATTCTTTACTGTCGGGTCACTTATTACAGGTTCAGCGAGCTGCACGAGACTGACGGGCTGTCAGGAGAGGGAGAGGAAAAGAGAGCACACCGTTTATTTTTCCCATTTTATTATCCAGAATTACTGTAAACCTTTGAATAAAGTAGTTAATCTACTATTAGTAGTTTGTTTAAATGCATTACTTATGTTTTTTTCTTTCTCATTAAAATAAAATAAATCTCACATACCCCCTGCAGTACTCCAACGTACCCCTAGGGGTCCGTGTACCCCCATTTGAGAACCACTGCTCTAGATGATAGGAAAGGAGGTTTCAAACTTCCTTTATGACCTCCTTTAGCTTAGGAACCACTGGACCTTCCTTACGAAAGGAAAGGAGAAAATGCTGCCCCACAATACAGCATTTGCCGTCACACAACATTCGGCCGTTCACGGAAACAACCGATTATGACGGAGAAATCATATCATGAAAGTTACGGTGCTTATTAAGCATTTTAAAACGTATGTGGTAAGTTGCCAAAGTGCTTTGTTTTGAACGTTCATCAGTATTATAATCAAAAAGAGAAATATGAATGTTAGTTTTTACTGAAATGATCAAATAAAGTCAACATCTCACAGTCTTTACTGAGCTGTGTGGGGTTTGTTCAACTTTTAAAAGATGTTTGAATGGTGATATACACAGTGATAGATGTTAAGGACTAACGTTTATAATAAATACATTTGTATTGATTTTAAGATATTTTCATACAATCATACGTATTGGGATCATTTGTATTAATGTGGACCGGAGGGAGAGGGTGACGATCATAAGTTTCACTTTCCTTTTTTATTTCAATTCCAACTTTGGTCATGAAGAATATGTTTCTCTGTTGTCCACGTTCATAAAGCATAAAGCAACAGCATCGGAGCACGGTGCAGAGTCTCTAGATGAGTTTACAGTAGTCCCTCGTTCTTATTGAACATCCATGTTGTAGTCCGCTGTATAGAAAACTGTAGTTTCCATAGTTTCCCCACAGCAGCAGACGCACATTCATGACGTCCGCTGGCGCATCATAAACACGTCGGATAGTGAAAGTGCAGTCGATTCTCTAAAGTACCGCAGTCTCTTTTCCTAAGTCCTTTTGAATTCTCCTATCCACTATCCCTTAACCCTGTGATGTTTCACTCAGAGGTCAAGGAATAGACGATAGGGATAGATGATAGGAGCTGATTGTTGGACTATTCAACTGCAACCCTTGTGTTTTTGAGAGCTTATGACAGTTTATGTGAGAGGACATTGTACTGGTTGTGAGAGAGCATACTTTAAAAGGAAGTCAGGTTGATCCAACAGGAAGCCAGTTTAAATATTCATTCCTTGACCGGTTTACAGCCTTGAAAACAAAGCCTAAAGCTGCTCAGAGCACTGCTAGCTACATTTGAGCTGCAATAAGAACTTTTGGTAACACGTTAAGGCCCTGACACACCAAGCAGTCACCAGAGGACTCGCCGACGCCGGCTGTTGCGTCGCCGTGTTCTCCTGCGTCTTGGCCGGTAGTGTGTATTCGTCATTCAAAAGAGGCAACAACCGGAAGACAGAGAAGAAGAACATACCGTGATATAAACAAACAACAAATAGCGTGTGCGTTCCATTTTCACTCTTGTCCATCGAAAACATGTTTCGTGCGGCACTGGAGCTAGATTTGGGTTCTGCCCGCTCTGTATTAATGTCATGTTGACAGGTTATCATCATGTAGGCGTTGATAAAAGCTCATTCTAATGTTGTGTTATGTGTGTATGAAGGTACGAAATACATTTTTGCATTGCCTATCCTGCTATTTGTGTTTATTATTTTAATCACACAGCGATAAGAAACAATAACAATGTGCCTACATAACTGTCAGTTGCAGCCCTAGCATTAGTATTGGTTATAGTAACAGCTACAACATTAAAATACTTCTAGGCAGATTGAGGAGGATAATGGGAGAATGAACAGAGGGGCAGAAACATCCATCTGAATAATAATAACTTTATTTGTATCGCACCTTTCATACAGGGGATTGCAGTTCAAAGTGCTTTACATCAGTAAGAAATAAAATATACAATCAGTGTAAAACAAGCAGCAAGAGCAAAGCATAAAGTGGGATAAAATAATATATATATAATAATCCCAACAGGCCACCTTGTTTATGGTTTGATTAACTTTTAGTAGAATATAAAATACATGAATGAATGATGAAATGAGCACATAAAGTGCAGACATACTATAATTATATTGAGGTACTTGAGACTAATCCTGCAACTGTATAGTTCTGCTCCACAACAGTTTGAGAATGAAGAAACCATCACGTATGAAAGGCTACATGTGAATAGAGGGGCAGAAAAACGGCTTGCACATTTACATTTCAATCTTGAACAATGAACAGCGGTAGACAGTATCTCATTTAGTATCACCATCCTGCGCTTCGCCGGAGGCCTTCGAGTGCTGAGTGTGCTTGGCCTCTCTCCGAGCCGCGGTGCCGGTGTGGTGCAGATGGTGGATTCTGCCATGGGAGTGCAGGGCTCAGCATCAAAGTGGAAGGACTCCTCGTGGTGCTGGTCGAGGTTTCACTGCTGGTGCCACCGGGGGTTGATTCTGCAGCCACCTTAATTTTTTGAAAATAAATTCACAGTTAGTTGGATTTAAAACCATGGCTTCTTAAAACTGTTTACTAAGCATTCATAACAAAAAAATACCCTGAAATGTGTGTGCCATTAGTTTGGGGTGTGAACTAACATCTCTGTTAACCGCCTTTGCTTTCTCACTGTCTCCGTCCCCACCGACTCATAAAGCTGGCAATGTCCTTGATCTCATATTCTCAAGGAACTGCGCTACTTCTAACCTCTCTGTAAACCCGCTCCACACATCCGATCACTTCTTCATTTCATTCTCTCTATCCCTTTCCAAACATAACAAACTAATCTCTTCTCATCCTGCACTTGTCCGCCGTAACCTTCGCTCCCTCTCCCCCTCTACCTTTGCCTCGTCGGTGCTCTCAGCCCTCCCTTCCTCTGACTCGTTCCAACTCCTGCCTCCAAACTCTGCTGCAGAAACTCTCCTCTCTACTCTCTCATCCACTCTGGACTCGCTCTGTCCTCTCACATCTCGGCAGGCTCGTCAGTCCCCTCCTGCTCCCTGGCTAAATGATGCACTGCGTGCTAATAGAACCGTCCTTAGGGCAGCAGAGCGGAAATGGTGGAAATCCAAATACCGTGACGACCTCCTAACCTATCAAGCTCTCCTCTCCTCTTTCTCTGCTTCGATCTCTCAGGCAAAAAGCACTTTCGTTCAAGATAAGATCCAATCTTCCTATTCCAATCCTAAAAAACTATTTTCCATCTTCTCCACCCTCTTGGACCCTCCAAAAGCCCCTCCCCCCTCCTCACTTCTGTCAAGCGACTTTGTTACCCACTCTTTTTCTGACTCACCTTTACTCACCGCCGGGTCACCAGACCCTCCTTCCACCAACACACTTACCTCCTTTTCCCCTCTCTCTCCAAGTGAGGTTCTTACCCTCATTACCTCTGCCCGCCCTACCACCTGTCCTCTGGACCCTATCCCTTCAAACCTCCTTCAGACTATCGCTGCTGATATTATACCGTTTCTCACCCATTTCATCAACACTTCTCTAACTTCTGGTCACTTTCCAAACAGTCTCAAGGAGGCAAGAGTAAACCCTCTCCTAAAGAAACCCACTCTCAACCCGTCTGATGTTATAAACTACAGGCCTGTCTCTCTCCTCCCGTTCCTGTCTAAATCACTTGAACGCGCTGTCTTTAAACAACTCTCCTGTTATCTCAATCAGAACAACCTTCTGGATCCGCACCAGTCTGGTTTCAAGGCAGGTTACTCCACAGAAACTGCTCTCATTGCTGTCACTGAGGAACTGCACACTGCCAAAACTGCATCCCTCTCCTCTGTCATCATCCTGTTGCACCTGTCTGCTGCATTCGACACGGTGAATCATCAGATCCTCCTTCACACTCTCCAAAAACTTGGAGTTTCAGGCTCTGCACTTTCCCTCCTCACCTCATACCTGAAAGACCGTACCTACAGGGTGACTTGGAGAGGGTCTGAGTCCGACCCTTGTCAATTAACTACAGGGGTCCCTCAGGGCTCTGTTCTTGGTCCCCTCCTCTTCTCCCTGTACACAAACTCGCTCGGATCAGTAATTAGCCCGCATGGTTTTTCTTACCACTGCTACGCTGATGACACCCAATTAATTCTGTCCTTTCCCCGCTCAGAGACCCAGGTCGTCGCACGCATCTCTGCTTGTCTAGCTGACATCTCTCAGTGGATGTCTGCTCATCACCTCAAACTCAACCTTGACAAGACTGAGCTGCTCTTCCTTCCGGGAAAAGATTGTCCCACTCTTGACCTAACAATCAACATCGGCACCTCAGTTGTTTCCCCGACTCAGACTGCAAGGAATCTGGGTGTGACCCTAGATAACAACCTGTCCTTCACTGCAAACATCGCTGCTACAACCCGTTGCTGCAGATACACGCTTTACAACATCAGGAAGATACGTCCCCAGCTGACACAGAAAGCGACTCAGGTTCTGGTCCAGGCTCTCGTCATCTCACGCCTAGACTACTGCAACTCCCTCCTGGCTGGTCTACCTGCATGTGCCATCCGACCTCTGCAGCTCATCCAGAATGCAGCGGCTCGTCTGGTCTTCAACCTTCCTAAATGTTCCCACACTACTCCGCACCTCCGCTCCCTTCACTGGCTTCCGGTAACTGCTAGAATCCACTTCAAGACACTGGTAATTGCTTACCATGCTGCGAATGGATCTGGCCCTTCGTACATCCAGGACATGGTTAAACCGTACACCCCAGCGCGTGCACTACGCTCTGCATCAGCCAAACGACTCGCTGCGCCCTCGCTGCAAGGGGGACCCAAGTTCCCAACGGCGAAAACACGTGGGTTTGCTGTCCTGGCTCCAGGATGGTGGAATGAGCTCCCCATTGACATCAGGACGGCAGATAGCTTGCACATCTTCCGGCGCAAACTGAAAACTCATCTCTTTCGACTCCACTTCGAGCGATAGAACTATTAACGAAGCACTTTTATACTAATAAAGGACTGGCTTTTCTAAAGCCAGTTGAGTAGCACTTGAAATGTTTTTGCTTTATGAAACCTGATGTACTTATATGATTCTGTTTTCTTCAAGTTGTATTTTGTTGGACGAACGCACTTATTGTAAGTCGCTTTGGATAAAAGCGTCAGCTAAATGCAATGTAATGTAATGTAATGTAATGGTCAAGTGTGAAAGGCACATTGTAGACACATTGTGATGCTCTATTCAGATGCTAAAGATATACTTCTAGAAGATTCAGAACACTACAAAATATAATCAAGACATATTTTATCATGTATTATTATAGGTTAAGATAAAAGCGTTATTGATCCCATGGTGAATTTCATAAGCTACCCAGCAGTATATCATGTAATTTCAATTAGCTCCTCCTTTACCAGCTACAACATTAAGGTGATGAGCACATCAATAATTATAATACAATAATATATATATTATTCTGTTATTGTTATATTATTTTTTATCTATTCGTGTAATATTATATTTTATTATAATGTTATGTTCATTGTGAAGCACTTTGGCAAACCCTCTGATTTTAAACTGTGCTATATAAATAAAGTGGATTGGATTGTTATTGTTATATTTAACACTGTAACCACCAAATGAATGAAAATAATGTTTTTGTAAATGAAAGAAGCAAGAAACACTTAAGTTATTTGTACTCAACAAATAAAATAGTTACCGTGATGGTGAGGTTCGAAGTAATCTCCTCCCTTCTTGTGTAGGGCTCTTAAAACTGCAGCCTGGTTATGATCCACTGCTGTCTGTCAGTCCTTTGTGCTCCACAACTACCCGAAGGGGCACGTTTCCTACAGGGTGTACTGGGTTAGCAAATAATCCCAATTCTTCCTCAGCTCTTTCTCTCAAGCACATAAATAAACGATGTAAGCATTGTGGCTAGTTAGCATGTCCAATTCATATCTATATACAGTGCCAAACTGCACAGCTAGCAACAGCTAGCAACAAGATAACAACAAAACACAAGGTTGAAATAACAAATTACATTTCACGTTAACGTCACTGTACGCTGGCAAACAATAAAAAGCCAACAGCATCTGCTAAAGAGCTCAATTGATGAAAAAGATAATCTTACCCGAGAAACCAAGTTGCGTTTCAATCTCTCGCCAGAGTCCGGTTTTCACTACTCGGTTCGAGTACCTTTTCTCAGTGATGTCGTACAGAGCTGGCCTCTCCTGGATCAAGGTGATAAGCAGGTCTTCGTTTCCGTCATTCCAGATCGCCATGATGAGATGACAATGAATTAGCAGTCTGTGGTTGCGTTCCGATTCTTTCACACACACATACGGGTATTGGGCCGAGCGCGACACCGTACTTCCGGTCTGCGCCGTTTTACGCGAGGTGCAAGCAGCCGTACACCGTCTAGGTGTTGCTAAGCTTCCTGTAGTGAATATCATAGTCTATTGCCTTAATCAATATCTAGTCAACTCTAAAATACCACATATATGCAATGGCATGATAATATTATTGTGACAAGTGGGGTATTCACCTGGTGTTTCCAGAAATTAGACGTAGATGCAGCCAAAATCGACGAAGGCCACTGTCGTTTTTCCATACATCTGCAGGCAGTCTGTAACAACCCACACAGCTCTAGTTTACGCTGGTAACGACCTAAAGCACACCCCTCAAGTCCAGAGATGTGTAATCCGAAGACATGCAGCGATTTCTTCGGTCGTTAATTCAGAAAAAAAACCTACTGCGCTCTGCCTGGCTACGTTAGCTAGTTGTTTATATTTGCACTTCCAGGATATTAGCACCTCCAGGAAAATGGCGCATTTATATATATTTATATGGCGCGTGTTGCATTGTGGGTAGCTCGTGACGTCACTGTGTGTGAAAGAATTATCCAAAAATCAGCTCCTAAATTCTAACCCTATCTCCTATTCCTTGACCTCTGAGTGAAACGGGGTTAAGGGATAGTGGATAGGAGAATTCAAAAGGACTTAGGAAAAGAGACTGCGGTAATTTAGAGAATCCGACTGCACTTTCACTATCCGACGTGTTTATGATGCGCCATCGGACGTCATGAATGTGCGTCTGCTGCTGTGGGGAAACTATGGAAACTACAGTTTTCTATACAGCGGACTACAACATGGATGTTTAATAAGAACGAGGGACTACTGTAAACTCATCTAGAGACTCTGCACCGTGCTCTGATGCTGTTGCTTTATGCTTTATGAACGTGGACAACAGAGACACATATTCTTCATGACCAAAGTTGGAATTGAAATTAAAAAGGAAAGTGAAACTTATGCTCGTCACCCTCTCCCTCCGGTCCACATTAATACAAATGATCCCAATACGTATGATTGTATGAAAATATCTTAAAATAATAAATGTATTTATTATAAACGTTAGTCCTTACCATCTATCTATCATGTTTTCTTGTTCTGCAGGGAGACATTTGAAGATCACGTGACATAGGCCAGCCATTGGAATGAATGGTGAAAAAAAACGGGGTTTGTCAAACAGAGCACATGGTGTAGTCCAAACGATAGCTGGGGATTCTGGGTAGTGTAGTGTCTTCTGCCATCCTTTACTCCGAAAAAATATTGTTTCTCCGAATCGAAGGGGAAAAATACAAAAGCATTGCACACAATTTAAACCAATCAATGTTGTGTAATTAACAAGGATAATCTGGTGTTTTTTAGTCGATGAGTAGTGCAGATATCACTGTAAAATCAATCGACAGTAAGAGGAATACTTACTTCCGGGTGTACAATTCTCCGTTATCCAATGGGAATGGACGCTCACATTGCCTTTAAGGGCAGCCGACACAAACGAATGCCGTGCTTCCATGAGCGTCAAATCCCGCCGCAGATGGGAATGCATTGCAATCAGTTGAAAGCTATTTGCGTCCCTTTATGAAGCTGAAGGAGCCTAGGAGCGTCACAACTGGACGCCACGGACACTGACCAAACGTCGCTCCTGGACGCTTAGGGAGTGAGAGTGTGTTGGTTGAACCGGCCATGCATCGGGTCAGGCAGTCCAAATAAGGTGTGTCACGGCAGACGGTGCGGGACACACCAACTTGACTACGGCGCCGCGAATGCCCGACAGCCTCTGACGGCCTCTGACTCCCAAAATCGGGTTGGTGTGTTAGGTACACAAATTCACCACCAACTAGTTGATAATTAACATGCATATGAGCAGTATATTGGCTATTTATTAGTCATTATAAAACACTTATTAATGCCTTATTCTACATGACCAGATTATACAAGTAATAGGCCATTAGTTGAGAGTTTTTCCTCAATAACCCTCTAATTAGTGCTTATTTATTTCAAGTAAGGAAGTTGTTGTACATGAGTTTTGGTCTTAATATGCTCTGCTCAATATGGGCCCAATAAGACAGTACCTAATTTTGAGTTATTTAGACTTAATTAACACTTATAGTTTCATGTCTTGTTACATAAGAATATATCACATTTGATCAGATCTAAAAAATATCTATTTGTGATCATACTGTGTGACCTGCTTGTATGTACTTACAATAGGTGTACTGTTCTCTCTATCTGTTGTACTGTCTCAGTGTGAACATAGATTAAACAGCCAGCCAAACTCTTTTGAGAGCCAGGGAATGAGCAGCCATGCTCCTTTATTGAATTATTTGCAGTCTACTGACATTCAAACTGAGTGAAACTATAAAAAAAGAAGATACAAGGCACTTAAGGATCTCATACATGCAAGTGTAACATACACAGATTAACACATGACTGCTAAGTGTAAACAAGGTAAATATAGCTAATGGTAGCAGTGCAATAAGCATGTATACAGGCTAGTTTTGTAGGGTGACCAGACGTCCCTGTTTTCCGGGGACAGTCCCCGTTTGTATTGGTCTGTCCCCGGTTGAAACTGTCCCCGGAATGTCCCTGTTTTTTAATATACGTTAAAAACACATAGCAAGGTGAAATATAACGTTTCATGTCAGGAAACACTTGGTAAACAGACTGTGGTCAAGCCAGCCCCCACTTCGGAAAACACAGTCAAGCCAGCCCGCACGTTGTATTGCGGTGTGTTAGAAATTAAAAATCAATGTTTTGATAGCATAATGTACCTTAAACATACCGTCAGTTTAAATGCTGTTTTATACTGAAAAACCAGAAGTTCTTGTGCACAACCAGTTGTTAAGCTTTTATTCTGAAAATCCTTCATGACGACATCCGGGACTACCGCCCATTAGTATCATTAAAGTGGCTATTGACGCCGTTAACATGTATTACATATAAAGTTATGAAATAGATAAGGAGGAGAAAAGGCATGTGGAAGTAAGCAATGAATGTAAAATGTCGAAATCCTCTGTTTAACGCGATATCGGACACAGACGAACGAGAGGGGGAAGTCCCCTACGTCACTACAGCTCACAGAGAGGAGGAGCAAGCGGGAAGCAAGCGGGAGCAAGCGGGAAGGACGAATGCTTGTAAGCTCTCTTCTGCACGGCCAGCACCTGGGAGAGGAAGCTGCAGACTTCTCTCCTGTAGAACAATATCCTGTTTGTGACTTTACTGCGCCTTTTTTATTAATTAAAGTACCAAATTTGAACCTCCAGAGACTCCATTTAGTCTCCTTTTTAAGCTTCTCTTTCCTGGACGCGAGAATAAGAACACAGTTAACAGGTGCACGAATATCCTATGCATTACGGTAGAGGCCTGTAAAAAAACAATACTTTTGAAATCTCATATATGGGCTATCGTCCTTCTGTTTTTACAAAAGATTAAATAAAAAACTGTCAAATTATCAAAGACTTATTTCACTCCAGGGTGATAGCAGGACACCCCATCTAGTCACTCAGAGAGAATCTGGACAATCTGATGTACAGTTTCAAAATAAAAGACCTTTGAGCTATCGTCCTTCTGTTTGTATCCAACAGTTCAAATGTTCGAATTACATTGAACCAGAATTGTCCCCCTTTTTTCTTTAACAGTGAAGAAAATTGGATATGTTAATGATCTATTGACCGCAAAACTCAAAATGTCCCCGGTTTTAATTTGGAAAATCTGGTCACCTTATAGTATGGCTAACGCTAGCGTGTATGCTAGCTCACGCATTTTAACGCAGTTTAAACATCTCCAAATGTCATCACATAAACACAATACATGTTAATAATCCTTACAGTCAGTGTAAGTGTTAGGCTTACAGTTACAGTAAGGTGACCAGATTTTCTAAATTAAAACCGGGCCATTTTGAGTTTTGCGGTCAATAGATCATTAACATATCCAATTTTCTTCACTGTTAAAGAAAAAAGGGGGACAATTCTGGTTCAATGTAATTCGAACATTTGAACTGTTGGATACAAACAGAGGGATGATAGCTCATATATAAGACTTCAAAGGTCTTTTATTTTGAAACTCTACATCAGATTGTCCTGATTCTCTCTGAGTGACTAGATGGGGTGTGCTGCTATCACCCTGAAGTGAAATAAGTCTTTGATAATTTGACAGTTTTTTATTTATTCTTGTACAAAAATAGAAGGAAGTTAAATAAGTATTTTATTGAAGTGAAATAAGTATTTTATTGAATTCGAAGGACTCTTTGATTATGGACGGTTTCCATTAAATAATAATCAAAATATAGATGGACAATAGATCTAATTTGAGATTTTAAACAGCATACATTTTAAATTGTGCTTCAGAAAGTAATGTTATTTTAGGAGTGTTGTGAGATGGTGTCAACATCAATTGAAATTAGTCACCCAGTGGAAATGTCAGATATGTATGGGCATAGATATGTCTCATAATTATTTGTGTGAACATAAAAATAATTTGTGTGTAAATATGTGATTTGTAAATGTAAAACACCATCCACAAGATTTGCAAACTCACAAATAAATGTGCAAGTGTAAAACGGATCTGCAAATACACTAAATATTTTCACGAATAAAAAAAAGATCTGTGAATATCTCTTTAACATTTACAACTTTCGATCAGGCATTTGTGAATCCATTTTGTATTTGTCGACCAAAAATGCGCTTGCGGATCTCAAATCTCTGCTCGTGGATCTCACATTTCTGCTTGTGGATCGTCTTTTTACACACACGGAATTTTGAGACCTATTTTCCACCGGTCTCGCTAAAATCTACTCGTGTCACTCGGTTATTTTCGGAAACCACGTGATGGCCTGCTGATGACGACATTTCCGCATGATTTCAAAGTAAGAGCATGATGGTTTGTTTAATGCTCTGTTTTTTTATTATAATGAACAGCGGAACGTTAGATGCATTCTTTATCATCATCATCATCATCATCATGTTATAGTGATACAGTTAGTTTGTGTTCAATACAGCA